GCTATCTCATTTTCATAATACATACATATATATACAAAGTAAATGGGACGACCGTATATGAGACAAGAATAAATTGAATTCTCGCTCATACGGCTTCATCAGGAATTGATGAATTTATTCAATTTGTTCAATCAACAGCATCATAGAAATACAGTGCGCCAAATGCAAAGCCGCAGCGTTAAAAAGCAACAAGCTAAATGTTAAGCGCGAAGCGCAAAAGTAGCAATCTGCAATGCACATCAAACAATCCTAGACAGTGTAAACATAGATGAACTCTGTGACGAATTTGTTATGAGATCGGAGACAAGAAGAAAGATTTTCAGACATTAGTATGACTTATAAGATAGTTTACTAGTTGCTATGTTGTTTCCGGTCACCCTTTTAAATTTCACGTCATTGTATCTTTATTTTTATTTTTTCACTCATTTAATTTCCTGATATATTATAAAACATTGTTTTATTGAAAAGCTTATGTAGGCCTATGTCACTGGCGTACTAGTGGGGGGAGGGGGCTTGGAGGAGTTAGCCCCACCCAAATAAAATCCAACCATGACTGTGATTTATAAATGTTCGTGATATCACATGATTTTCAACAAAATTCGCGTTTCTCCATTTCTGTTGCAAACTGACACATTCCCAAATAGCCAGAAAGAGCCTATATTTTGTATAGTCACTAATGGGCCTAATTAGTGGCCGATAAAACTAACAGTAGTATACAATTCCTTTCCAGAAGCTATTGCGACAAGCACTAACGGGAGATAACATGATACCCACTACTGGGGCTGTGCATGCAAAGATTTGCGAACGAACGTTCCATACGTACATCATGTGGGGAAACTGAATTCAGACAAGGATTAATATAGAGAACAGTACAACGAATCGTCTTCTTTCTCTAATAATTACGTGAAACAGCAGAGCTTCCGCGCTTTGCGGGAGGGGGGCAACTGAATTTAGACTAGGATTAAGAGTAATAATTAAATGAAACGTCAAAGCTTCCGCGCTTTGCGTGGGAGGGGGAACTGAATTCAGACTAGGATTAAGAGTAATATTTAAATGAAACGTCAAAGCTTCCGCGCTTCGCATGGGAGGGGGGAACTGAATTCAGACAAGGACACGATACCACGAATCGTCTTCCTTCTCTAATAATTTAATGAAACGGTAAAGCTTCCGCGCTTTGCGCGTGATGGCGAAAATGAATACAGAAAAAGATTAAGAGTAATAATCTATTGAACCGTCAAAGCTTACGCGCTTCGCGCGGTAGGGGGAGAAACTGAATTCAGACAAGGACACGATACAACGAATCGTCTTCTTTCTCTAATAATTATACGAAACGTGAAAGCTTCCGTGTTTCGCGCAGGATGGGCGAAAATGAATTCAGACAAGGATTAAGAGTTATAATTTATTGAAATGCAAAGCTTCCGCCCGGGAAACTAAATTCAGACAAGGACACAAGACAACGAATCGTCATCTTTCTCTAATAATTTAATGGGACGTGAAAGCTTCCGCGCTTCGCGCGGAGGGGTGGGGGAAACTGAATTCAGACGAGGATTAAGAGTTGAGAATGGTACATCGAATCGTCTTCTTTCTCTAATAATTTAATGAAACGTGAAAGCTTACGTGCTTCGCGCAGGATGGGCGAAAATGAATTCAGACAAGGATTAAGAGGCGAGAACGGTCCTACGAATCGTCTTCTTTTTCTAATAATTTAATGAAACGTCAAAGCTTCCGCGCTTCGCGAGGGGGGAAATTCCCCCCTCCCTGCACCGAACCTCAATGAAATCCTGGCTACGCGTTGGGAGGGGATGCAACCTGCCACACGCTTCTACCTCTTGGTTGCTTTGATCCATTGCCGAAAATATTTTGGCACCTATCATCCCCCCCCCCCCCAACCACGGATACAAATCGACACCCTTGAACTCTATATATCCTTAAACGAAGGGCACTTAGTTACCTTGGTACTCTACAAAAGTCAAAAGGGCGTGGGGTTAAAAAGATGAAAGTTTGCAAGATGCGTATTTTAGCAGTTTGGTAGAATATGGGATCATAAAACAAGGGGCACACCTTATTTATTAATCCTGATAAGTAGGGGAACTGGGTATTTATTTCAAAGGGGTAATTGTCAAAATAAAAGGGGTAGTTAGCAGGTAAAAGGGTCGCTTGTCATACCTAAAGATATATAATATAAAACAGTATGCACTATTCACCTTTTATTTGTATAATCAATCAGTATGCCTTAAAGTGCAGATCAATGACGTCACTTTCCGCTTTTAGTTTACATGACTGTGTACTAAATCCCCGCTCAACGCGCACGACGGTCTAAACGGCTCAAACTGGTGTAAACTGTGAGAAATTGAGAATGAAGACAACTTTAATAAGTGGCTGACAAATCACAATTCCGGCCTAATTAAACGGATTTCGCTCGGAATTAAATGTCCTCATTCGCCAAATGGCATGTAACTTGCTTGAGTTAAGAGAGAATGAAAGTTCTCTAAAGTCGACTCCCTGTTCCGAAGAGACCGACATGCAGCAGCCTATACGAAAAAGTAGTAGGCCTACAATTTTATTGTATGTAACCTTTACCAGCGTCAACAAGTCTATTTGAATGCGATCTGACAACAAGAGATATGTATTCCCGATGGGTCTCAATGTTGCAGTGCATGCAGGGGCAGCGGGCGTCTCGTAAAGGGGTGGAACCCTCGAATTTTAGCAATTCATAATCTTCAAGATAGCCGCTCTATTATGTATCCCTTGAAATTTGCATTTCCCCTACGGCTTTATTTCGTTGGAAATCAAATCTCTCTCTCTCTCTCAAAGATTACACGATATTTTGTGAAAGCATGCTTCATTTTCACAAAAAGAAGGGTAAATGGACTGCAAATAATCACTATATTTGAGAAGAGGCTAGGCCTATCCTTTTACATATAAATTTGTGAAAATATTTTTCATTTCATTTCAAAGACTTTATTTTCTGCAATCAAACAAATCAGTTATACAACAAATATGGATAATTATATAAAACATAAGGTATGCAAACAATATGCAAAATATAGAAACAAATGTATAATACATGAGTAAGAGTAAACTTATACGTTGGGCCATTGCGTGTATAAAGAAAGAAAGCAGAAGGTCGCCGTTATAAGCAAAAGCTTGAGTAGACGGTCAACCGAGCTAAAATAAAAATGAGATGTGAAATATTGGCAAATTAACAAGAAGAGGGGGCCATGATACTCAAATGATATATATTACAATTAAATGTGAATATAGACAGTTGTATTCAATATAAATAATTATAGAATTAGCATATGAATCTCATATTTATATGGCTACTAATTATACGTCAATGACAGAGATAAGAGAGAAACTAAACAAAAACAAGGGTGCAAGTGGTGCGTGTGTGTGCAAGTGCAAGTGTCCTCAAGCGCCAAAATGTTGAATCATCAGTATTACTATGTAACGTCAGACCAAATTTAATGTAGTTTCTAAAGTTTTAGAAAAAACGCTTTAAAAAAAAATATTTAAAAAAAAAAAATTTTTTTTTTTTTTTTTTCCTTTTTTTTTAAACCTTTATACATTATATTGTGAAATAATGTGTTTTTTTAGTGTAGCTTTAAATGAATATGCCCGTCCATAAACAATCAGACAAAGACGAAGTGTCGATCACTATAACCTCTTTATGCCTCCGTCACATATTTAACGGCCTGTCTCTTGCCTAAATTGTGGATCGCCGGAGAGTCGCAGTGACGGATCCAGGGGGAGGGGGCACAGGGGGCACGTGCCCCCCCCCCGGCCAAAAAAATATGTTAAAATTAGCCCTAAATTCGCCCAAAATATACTGAAAATAGAGGCGTGCCCCCCCCCCCCCCCAACGGAGCAAAATGTCAAATTAAAAAATTTCGTGACCCCAAAAAAAGTGTCCTCTTACCCCCCCCCCCCCCCCCCCCCCCCCCATTATTCAGCGGCTGGCTGAGTCGTTACGATTATTTATATATATATTTACAATATATATATATATATGTGCCCCCCCCCCCGGCAAGTCCTGGATCCGCGCCTGAGTCGAGCCTTTTTTTTTTCGCTTAAAAGCTAATCTGTCACATTATTGATCGGGGTTTGTAAAACACGCTAATTAATCAAAAAAAAATCAATAAAAAGACGATAATTTTTTTTATTTTTTTTTAAAACTTATTTGTATATTAGGAAGCTTTATTACATCCTTTACATGTCGGATATTCAATATGCAACATTATTTACCTCTCTTTAGAAATCTAGCCATCTGATTTGGTCAATACGGTTCTTTAATATAGGCCTATCGACTGCTTTGAAATTCGAGGCCTGGCTGTTATACTGGCTCAAGGGGATGTTACGTCATGGAATGACACCGAGGCGCGCCTGGGCGGATAGCCAGGCCTCTCATAGCAGTCGATGTTATCTATAATATAATATGGTCAAAATCTTATCGATCGAGGATCTCAGTAGTTGGTTCATGATTTATCAAATCTACATTTCAAGGGATGATCTGAAATTTTTTTGGAGAATGCATTTATAGGGGGTCTAGCAACAGGCACGTAGCCACGGGGGGGGGGGGCACGGGGGGACACGTGCCCCCCCCCCCTAAATTTAAAAGATCGGTTGAAGTTTTTTAGACCCCTTTTTTCACCTCGATCGATTACATGTATGTGCCCCCCCCCCCCCCCAAACATCAAACTCTGGCTACGTGCCTGTCTAGCATCGCAATGGCATTTCAGCCCGTAAACGTAACGACTTTGCAAGCGTTCTATGGTTGCACAACTGGATCATGTACGGTTTCCTGCGTTCTGATTGGTTAAAACCGTACATCCATTCGATGCAGGATGTACGGTTGTACAGTAAGATGTCGTGTTTATGGCACGTTCCGCCCGTCATACTCGTGCGACACGAGCACGCGCACAGTATACCGTACATATAAGCCTACAGCGAACCAATCATTTACTTTTTTTTTAAACCATAACAATATTCAATATGGTATTGTTGTCGAAAATGGGGAAGGCCGGACTTTATAAGGTGAGTGAGCAATGACAATCAATGTATTATTTATATACCAGGAGGCCTACCCAAACTTGTCTAGCGTAGACTAGACTAGACTAGGTCTAGATCTACTATTTTCTAGGCCTGGAATCTAGAATAATAAGTGAGATCCACACATCTGCAATAATCTTCAGCAGTGAAGGAGACAGATTAGACTATCCTGAAGAAGAAGGAGAAGAAGAAGAAGAGAATACAAAATTAAGAGTCGCTCTGATTGTTAGGCTAGACCTAATTTGATCTAGGCCTAATCTACTGTTAACGTGCAGTCGAGTGCAGTCGAGTCCGGACAATACTAGTATCATCTAACTTTAGACCTAGATCTAGAGTCTAGATCTAGTCTAGTAGGCCTAGGCCTAGGCCTAGAATGATAGATCTAGATCTAGGAGTAGACTCTAGGCCTAGGCCTTTTTAGTAGGGTAGACTATCTCCACGCCGGATATACGGGTCAAATTTTGGATAGCTTTCTGAACAAGCGCCGACTAGAAGTCTAGACTAGTCTAGATTTAGGGGGTCTAGACCTAGACTCTAACGTTAGATCTATTCGATCTATTCGATCTATTCGATCTAGAAGTCTAGATCTGCACTGCAAATCGAAAGCTTTAATCAATCCATTCTCTTGTCTTGTTCCACGGAGATCATTAAAAGTTGGTCACAGGGCGGGGCTGCGCTATGGCTCGCTACGGTTCCTCCAATATGCAGGACTCGACTGTCAACTTTGGGGAACTGCTTCGAGGGAGGTCGTACTCGTAGACTCTGCAATTTTTGTTTGGCTCAACAGGAAAGGGGGGTGTTGAGTAAGAGAAGAAAAAAATCGAAGTGCTGACGACCCCCCCCCCCTCCCCCTCCCCCTCTAGATCTATTACTTCGAATGTTACATCCTACAGTTTTGTTGTCTTAGTCTAGACCCTATAGGCTAGACCTTTGCTATAGAAGTCTACCAGAGTCTAGATCTAGATCTAGTTGTAGATAAAGGTCTAGATCTAGGCCTAGATCTAGTTAAACAAATCTAATTTAGAGGTCTAATCTAGTATAGATCTAGTGTCACTGTCGGAAAGTCTGGCAGAGAGATGATGAATCGCTAGATGTCAGAACTGTCTAGATCTAGGCTAGGCTAGACCTACATCATTTATGAAGGAACCTAGACTCTAACTGTTAGGCCTAGAGTCACCAATGATGAGCTAAGGTCACGTTCAAGGATTTATCTGTCATGCTGCCTTGTTGGTAGCATTTAATGCATGGATCTACATTGATAATTACTAGGATAGGCCTAGATCTAGACTAGAGTAATTTGTTTGTTTTTTTCTTCTTTTCACTTCTTGGGCTCTTCGTGAACCGATTGTGACAATATCTATTCTTGATAGATAAAGCTCATCTTCTCAGACTCGGAGCTTGATCAATCCGAGGAGTCAGAGAGATTGATCAACAGTTTTGAGAAGATATAATTTTGAATTTATCAATCATTCTAATTTCTATATTATATAGGGCAAAGGCATATTGTTAGTGTTATAATCATTTCATGAAAAGAGATTTACCAAATATATATTCCAACTTTATTGGCAACAATGTATAGGCCCCTACATAGTATTAAAAAGGTTTTCTGCCCTATTGTTTATCATCATCTGCATCATTCTCGCGGTCTCTATAATGGGCCTAGGGCTTTAATGTGTATTGGCGTGTAACTCGATGACGGAGATACATGTAGGCCTATACAGGGGCGGATCCAGGGGGCGAACTCCCCCTCCCCCTTTTTGTTTACCTTTCAAAAAAAATGCATAGATCATTAGATGTTTAGTTTACCCATTCAGAAATGCCTAAGGATGTAACATATAAGCCTAGAGCTCCGGCTTAAGGATCAACATTTTCCGGGACCGCGCCTTAAAGGCTTCACGCTCGCAATTTCCTACATTTCGCGCCGCCCCTGATATACTGTGTGTATATTTATCCTTATCTAGGTCTAATTCTATTATCTTCCTTTTTTCTCTCTGTTTCCCCAACTCTTTTACCAACTGCAGAAGCAACTGTTCGTTGGGACATGTATTCTCGCACTTGTATTGCTGATACTGGAATTGATGCACTCGTACATCAGTGCCTCCATGACGTCATACAGATCTAGGGAAAGTCCCTCCTCCTTGCCCATGATGTCAACATGGAAGAGGATATACCAGCACGGAAGTTCTTCAAAGGATGAGTCTGAACCCTTCATCGCATGGGGAAACGATGCTGAGATGCAGGCGTGTAAACCTCGGATAAACCTTGCCTTCGTGAAAACCCACAAAACCGGAAGTACCACACTGGCGACAATAATCAATCGCTTCGGTTTCAGTCGTGGGCTCTCTTTTATATACAATAAGAAAAACTCACATGGCCATTTTACAGAACTGAAGTTAGAAGCTGAACGACTGTTGCCTCCGCTGTGCGTCATGGACGGGGAATATAGGAAGTACCGTGATTACAATTTGATGACCGCTCACTTCAGGCTGCTTCCCAATCTGAACAATGTGAGAGTCTTATTGGAGTGTTAATCATAGTAAATTTAGAGGCACTTGCTGAGGATTTGATAGCAAGGAGGGGGCAGGACTATCCAGTAGACTGACAGCTCAAGGCCCCGAAGACCGTAGATACCGACAGACCACGAAATCCTTGTGGTCTCTCGGTCTCATGGGTGTTCCTGGTGTCTTGTACCCTGAGATAATTTTCAGAATGCTCAACTTGCCGACAATATAGGTGTCTTTGGGTGCATTGCAATACATAAACAAATAAAGTGGAGGGGGCGGACAGGCGTTTGCAGAAGAAGACAAAAAATGGAAGAGAAATATGAATAAAAGAAAGACGTTCGAATGGTACATGTATTTTTGGCAAATTTGCTCGTGAAGGGGTGGGTGAAACCTGTTTAAAACAGTCCTCACTTTTTGTGTTGATAGCCAGATGGAAATGATTGTGATACGGCCCAATTTATTTCCGTAGTTTGAGTTTACAATCTCATAAAATCTATTGTTTTGCGTTTCTTTTATTTCGTAGTTAAAGAGGCTGATGTCACCCAATTTCAAGATTATCACCATTCTACGTGAACCACGTGCCCAGTTTGAATCTGCCTTCTCTCACTTCGGCGCTGGGGGCAGCATGGGCTTACATCCTCTAGAAAGCAACAGCACGCTTGCAGAAGACCTGACGCGATTCCTTACCAATCCAACATTCCATTGGAATCGCGCGTCGGGGTATGCGCGCTGGTACACGCGGAACGGACAGCTATTTGATCTGGCGGATACCCTCAACGTCGATAATCCGGACGCAGTGAGTCGGATGGTCCGACATCTAGATCGTATACTTGATCTAGTCCTGATCACCGAGCACTTTGATGAATCGCTGGTTCTTCTACGGAGACTAATGTGCTGGGATTTTAGAGATATTCTCTACGTCACACAGAACGCACGCGCGGAACAATTCCGATCCGATTTGACGTGGGAGCAGGAAGCACGCCTGCGCAGTTGGAACATGGCGGATTCCATACTCTATGATTACTTCAATCGATCGCTCTGGACGAAAATTACTCGCTATGGCCCTACATTTCAACAAGATCTTGCCCGGTTTCGCTGTCTCCTTCAGGAATATCAACAAACTTGTGCTAACGGAACTACCGTTCGATCGAGAGGGAAGCGGGTGAAAGTGGTAGCAGCAAACAATTTGTTATTTTGCGAACGGCTAGTAGATGAAAACTATGAAACAGAAAAACTGATAATCGAAAGACAGAAAGGACTACATTCATGCTAAAAACAATGTAGCTTAAAGACAAATCTTTACGAGCGTAATGTGATATGACGTATCAGGACAATTACCCCCTGGGCAATCACCCCCCGGAAAATTACCACCCGGAAAACTACCCCCCACGGACAATTACCCCCCAGAAAATTACCCCCCGGAAAACTACCCCCCTCCTCTAAGGACATTTACTATCCCCAAAGACAACTACCCCCAATGACGATCACCCCCGAGGAATTTGTAACACTGTGACATATAATGCAAGCTTCTCTTCAAATTGCTCTTTACAGAAAATGTCATAAACTTTCAATTTCTATGTTATTTGTGAAGTTCCTTTCAGTGTTTTCAAATTATTCACTTCGATATGGGGGGGGGGGTGGGAGTTGCCCAATTCCCCCGAAGTTTTGCTTCCGAGTAAAGAACAGAAATTACATTTTTTAAAGAAATTCAACAATACATTGCGCCCAGATGAGTACGCCTTACAGCCTCTCTCACCAACAATGGCAAAACAAAGAAATTAAGATGTAATATTTCATTTATGCATCCTCTGTAACTTTTTAAATAAGCTGATCGTGTATTTGTCTTTGTATAATGGGCCCTCGTCCATGATCCGAAATTAACGTTATCTATATATTTCTGTTATCTATATATTTATGTTGTCATGCGGGAGTATGATATGCGCAGGTCGAGGGTTCGAATCACGACACCGGCACTAATATCCTTTGGCAAGATATTAACCTGCACCTGCTACTCTCCACCCAGGTGTTAAATGGGTACCCGGTAGTATGCGACCGTCATTGTTGGTCACAACGGTGTCGATTTTTATCCGTGGTTGGGGTGGATGATAGGTGCCAAAATATTTTCGGCAATGGATCAAAGCAACAAAGAGGTAGAAGCGTGTGGCAGGTTGCACCCCCTCCCTTACAATTTATTAATTTTTTTTCAAGTCACCCTCAATAAAGATAACATTTCAGAGAATATGGGACCCATGTGGGCTTGCAACTTTGGTTATTATCCTCTCAAGCGCGTAGCAAGGATTTGATTTTAGGGGGCGGTAGTGAGCACGCGAAGCGTGCGAAGAGCGCTCCCTATAGGGGGTGGCTGCAGGAAGGGGGGGGGTTCCCCGTCCCACGCGAAGCGCGGAAGCTTTGATGTTTCATTAAATTATTAGATAAAGAAGACGATTCGTTGTTACGTTCTCGACTCTTAATACTTGTCTAAATTCAATTTCTTTTGACGTTTTATTAAATTATTAGAGAAAGAAGATGATTCGTTGTACCGTTCTCGACTCTTAATCCTTGTTTGAATGTAGTTCTCCTTCCTCCGCGCATAGCGCGGAAGCTCTGACATTTCATTAAATTGATAAAGAAAGAAAACGATTCGTTGTACCATTCTCGACATTTAATCCTTGTCTGAATTCAGTCCCCCCCTCCCGCGCGAAGCTTTGACGTTTCATTAAATTATTAGGGAAAGAAGACGTTTCGTTGTACCGTTCTCGACTCTTTTTCCTTGTCTAAATTCAATTTCTTTTGACATTTCATTAAATGATTAGAGAAAGAAGACGATTCGTTGTACCGTTCTCGACTCTTAATCTTTTTTATTCCTACGTCCTCTTCCTTTCTTCTTTCTCTCTCTCTCTCTTTATTTTTGGCCGGCGTTTTTTTTTTTTGGGGGGGGGGCGACCGCCCCCTGGCTACGCGCCTATATCCTTTCAGTCTCTCATCAATTCCTCATGAAGCCGTATGAGAGAGAATTCAATTTATTCTTGTCTCATATACGGATGTCTCATTTACGTATGTATTATGAAAATGAGATAGCAAAGTGTGTATATTGATGGTCATCTCGCGAGTAATAACCATTAACTACTCTCATCGGGCTCTCATCATTAATGTGTCTCTTCATTTTTTTTGTGATGGTGAATAGTTTAGGGGGGAAGGAATGATTGTACACCCCCCCCCCCCCCCCCCCCCCCCCCCCCGGGATCGACACCCATGAACATAGCACTTGGCGAGTGCCTGGGTCATGCAAAATAGATAGCCTGTGAAGACTTTGGGATTTGGGAGAAACTTTTCATTTCTTAAGAGGGTACCATGACTCAAAAAGTTGAAATAACGCTGTTCAAGAGAAATGCATTTCTATGCATTTTGAGAAGCACTTGACGATTACCTAAAACTTACATCCTTCGTGGAAATCAGTAGCCGCACTGCCGTTCTATATAAAGGGGAATGTTTAGTAACGAGGAAGACAACGTGCTAGTATTTGAACGAATATGGGTTCATGAAGGGGGTCTTATAGGCTCGTAGCCATCTCTCAATGTATCAGATCGTCTTTTGCTATTGAATCCCGATTTTCCACGGGGGTAGTTGTCCTCGGGGGGTAATTGTCCTCGGGGGTAGTTGTCCTCGGGGATAATTGTCCTCGGGGGGTAATTGTCCTCGGGGGGTAGTTGTCCGGGGGGTAATTTTCTGGGGGGTAATTGTCCTCGGGGGGTAGTTGTCCTCGGGGGTAATTTTCCGGGGGGTTATTGTCCTTTGGGGGTAGTTGTCCTCGGGGGGTAATTTTCCGGGGGGTAATTGTCCTTCGGGGGTAGTTTTCCGGGGGGTAAATTTCCGGGGGGTGATTGCCCAGGGGGTAATTGTCCTAGAACCAAAAAGACGGTCGCAGAAGAAATTCATCAGGATTGTTCAGATAATTTATAAATGAGTTGTAGGACAAATACAAATTTGATTGTCAGTTCTCTGACATCTACGACGCGGCTAGCACGAGTAAAAAAGAAAGCTACGTAAAACTTTTCCTTTAATTATAGGCCAACTTTGACAATGTTCTTTTTTTCCCTCTCTCAACTTGAACCAGTGTGTCAGAGTGACCGTGATTTGGTAAAACTTTGTCAAAGTAAAGCATAATGTTGCAAAAAAGTTGATCGGAGTCATAATTAATTTTCTGTTGGGTAATTTTTACGGCTTTTAATTCACCAAAGGTGATATGACAACGATAGTAATCAAGGATATTTGTCATGTTTAATTTCGTATAATAAAGTACATGTGTATGATATTTTGACAAATTTGTGAAGGTTTTATTTGCAATGCGAAAGGCATTCGATTCATTTACTTCCCAATAGGCCCATCCACACTAGATGCATGTACCAGGCGCGTACGCAGGATTTTTTCAAGGGGGGGGGTTAACATTTATAAATCGGGCCGAAAATTTCGCAACGACTCAGCCAGACGCTGAATAAGCGGGGGGGGGGGGGGGGGTAAGAGGACACTTTTTTTTTTTGGGGGGGGGGGGGGGTCTCGAAATTTGAAAATTTGACATTTTGCTCCGTTGGGGGGGGGTAAGGTCAGCTTTTTTAGGTCAACCATGGGAATATTTTTTGTTGTTTTTCTTTTTTAATTTAAAAAAAAAATCCAAAAGGGGGGGGGGGGGGGGGTTTTAGAGAAATTTAGGGGGGGTTTACACACAAAAATTAACAAGGGGGGGTTTACCCCCCCCCCCCCCCCCCCCCCTGTGTACGCGCCTGGCATGTACTAATCTACATGGAAACTGACCCGGGATTTCATGCTTCGTATCAGAGTCAAATTTAAATCACGCTCTGCATCTCCATTCGATTACCAATGAAACATCACAATGTTATTAAAGCGGGCGGCTGCACTACTTGTAGCTACTTGCGCCCTCTATATAGCTAACAATGTCTAAGCTGTCCCCCATGGTCTCCTTTCTCTTATGTTAAAGAGAGCTGATTTGTTCAATGGCCTTTACAAGTTGATCCCCAACGCAGAACTTACGTACAAACTCTGTTTTAGGAATCATTCCATCTTTTCAATTTACAAAGTGTGAATCAAGCTACAGTAGCGAACAAAAAAGAGAAGGTTGAAAAATTGTAAAACTCCTCTGGGTCATATCTCTATAGAAACTCCATGCTGTTACAAAATTATTTCGTGCCTTTCTAGACCATAACACAAGATGGCGCCATCCAATGAAATTGGAACTAGCATATTGTGTTCTAAAAACACCTCGACGATCGAACTTACTATAAACATGACGGACAAAGAAAGCGGACAAAATATACAGTTCCTCAGGTAGACAAAGGAACATCCCTTCACTACTATTATGTAAAAAAAATATGTAGAACAGGTGTCACATGCATATTCACCTGTTCTACACATTTTTACATAATAGCAGTGAAGGGATGTTCCTTTGTCTACCTGAGGAACTGTATATTTTGTCCGCTTTCTTTGTCTGGCATGTTCATAGTGACTTATAGTATAAATGGGGCCGATGTGCTTTTTACATCTATTACCCCATTCACAGTGGTTTTGAAATTTGTAGCGACAGCAGCGGGACAGTCCCGCTGCTGTCGCGGTGTTTGAGGCCACTGTGAATGGGGTATTATACCCCATTCACAGTGGTTTTGAAATTTGTAGCGGCGTTGTAGCGGAGCGGCGACACCGCCATAACACCGCTACAAATGCATTCACAGTAGAAAAGTTATCCCGCTGCAGCAGCGGGATAAATATCATGTACCCATTCACGCTGCAGCGGGTGATTTTTATTACCTCCGTAACAAACACGTGTATGCATGGCTCATGACCCGCGAGTGACCCCGATATGACCGGAAATACTTCAGCGCGGGGTTTTCGATTGTAAAAGGTAAACATGTCAAGTTGCTTTTTGTATCCTCGATCATATTACTTTTTAACAAACTAGCATTTTTATTGCTTCCAGTCAGAATATTTTAATTTTTTGAAGTGTGAAATATTTTTATTTGGATAATTATAATATCTACATAATAATAAAATCAATTTGAATCCACTGGTTACTTTATTTCTATTTCACTTTATGTTCCCCATTGCTGGAGAAAAGAGGTCAGTGATAGGTAAGTAAACAAATCACACGTGTTTGTCGCGGTGTTATGGCGGAGAGCCTTCACACTGAGTAAACACCGCGACAGCAGCGGGACTGTCCCGCTGCTGTAGCTAGGCGAACCTAGCGATAGTTTGTCGCGGCGTTAT